TGGAACAACTGAAGGCGCAGTACTGTTCAGAGATAGACCTGATTGATCTGAACAATAAGTTCCAAATTTTGAAGAATGGGAGAATGAGCATCGATGACTATGCTGCTGCATTTACGGAAAAGATGAAGTTGTTTCCATACCTAGTACCAACCGAACTTTCTAAAATTGAGAAATTCGCAAACGGACTGCCGGCTGACTATGGCCCAACAGTCAAGATGGCAACCACTCTGAAATCAGCTGTTCGAGCAGCTAAGAATGTGGAGACCCAACAAAAGGAAAGAGGTCTGGAAAGGGCTGAGGTCGGTGAGAAACGGAAGTTCGAGGGATCCTCGAAGTCCAACAAGAAGAGTAGATTCTCGAAATCTGGTTTGAGAGGAGGAGGATCAGAAGCAAAGTGGTGTGACAAGTGCAAGAAGAAGCACTTTGGGAAGTGTGATGGAGGGGTCACTTGTTACAAATGCGGAAAGCCTGGGCACTATGCCAATGAATGCACCCTTAACTAGAAGGCCTGTAATGGGTGTAATGAAGAAGGGCACATTTTGAAGGACTGCCCGAAGAAGAAGGAGGCAGGAAGACCCAACATACCACCGAAGCCGAAGGCGAGAGCCTTCCAGATGACACTCGAGGCTGCAAAGGAGGCAACAGACGTCGCTTCAGGTACCTTTCTTGTAAATGGTTTGCCTGCAAATATATTGTTTGATTCCGGAGCCAACTACTCCTTTGTGTCGCATAAATTTAGTGCGAAATTAGCATTACCTATAGAAAAACTTGATAACGCCCTAATTGTAGAAGTTGCCAGCGGCAAATTCGTACCTGTTAGTAATCGTATTAGGAACATCGTCATTGACCTAAACGGAAACGAATTCCATGAGGAACTATTACCCATAGAGTTAAACGGTTTCGACATCGTTTTGGGTATGGATTGGCTTAGCGCCAACGATGCCGAGATATTATGCCGAAAGAAGATAGTTAGGATAAACCCACCCGGAAAGGAATCATTTATGGTGTACGGGGACAAACGCAGAGTGAGTTCTGGAATCATCTCCCTGATGAAAGCCAGGAAATGTTTGTCCAAAGCATGTGCATCATACTTGGCATTAGTAATCGATGCTAAGAAGGAAAAGAAAGAGGTGCAGAATATACCGGTTGTGTGCAATTATCCGGAAGTCTTTCCCGAAGATCTTCCCGGATTACCACCTGATAGGCAAGTGGAGTTTCGTATAGACTTATTACCAGGAACAACACTAATAGCAAAGGCACCTTACCGATTAGCACCGACGGAGATGAAGGAGCTTATGACGCAACTTCAGGAGTTGTTGGACAGCGGTTTCATTCGACCTAGTTCATCACCCTAGGGAGCTCCGGTGTTATTCGTGAAGAAGAAGGATGGAAGCATGAGGATGTGCATAGACTATCGAGAGCTGAATAAGGCAACGGTGAAGAACAAGTATCCATTGCTGAGGATTGATGACCTATTCGATCAGCTGCAAGGTTCGAGCTACTTCTCAAAGATCGATCTTAGGTCAGGATATCATCAGCTGAAGGTGAGAGAGCAAGATATTGAAAAGACTGCATTCAGAACAAGATATGGACACTACGAGTTCTTGGTTATGTCATTCGGACTAACCAATGCCCCTGCAGCATTCATGGATTTGATGAATAGGGTTTGTAAACCATTCCTTGATAAATCTGTGATAGTGTTCATCGACGACATTCTCATCTACTCGAAAAGCCAGGAGGAGCATGGCAAGCATCTACGAGAAGTGTTGGAGGTGTTAAAGAAGGAGAAGCTTTTTGAAAAGTTCTCCAAATGCGACTTTTGGATACGGGAAGTCCAATTCTTGGGTCATGTTGTTAACCAAGAAGGAATAATGGTTGACCCTGCCAAGATCGAGGCTGTAATGAAGTGGGAACGTCCGAAGAGTCCCACGGAGATTCGAAGCTTTCTAGGATTAGTCGGATATTACGGACGATTTATCCAAGACTTTTCTTCGATAGTTGCTCCATTAACAGCTTTTACTCATAAAGGAGCTACGTATATGTGGAGTGAGAAGCACGATGAGGCGTTCGAGAAGCTAAAGAAGAAGTTAATGTGAAGCGCCGATACTTTCTCTACCCGATGGAGTCGAAGATTTCGCGGTTTACAGTGATGCATCTGGAATCGGGTTGGGTTGTGTTCTGACCCAAAGACAAAAGGTGATAGCATACCCCATCTCGACAATTGAAAGAGCATGAAAAGAACTACCCCACTCATGATCTGGAGTTGGCAGCGGTAGTATTCGCCTTAAAAATATGGAGGCATTACCTCTATGGCACGAAGTGCAAGCTCTTCACTGATCATAAGAGTCTCCAGTATCTCTTTAACCAGAAGGAGTTGAACATGAGGCAACGACGCTTGCTAGAACTTCTCAAGGACTACGACTGTGAGATACTTTACCACCCAGGTAAAGCAAATATTGTTGCTGATGCTCTCAGTCGGAAAGTCAACCTTGAAAGGAAAAGACCAAGAGCCTTAAGAATTGAAGTCGTCTCGATGATTGTGGAAAGTATCAGGAAAGCTCAAGAAGAAGCCTTAGAGAAGAATGACCGAAAGGAAGAACGTTTGGGAAAAACGTTAGTGTTCGGTACAAACAGTCGAGGACTGAAGGTATTCCAAGATCGAATTTGGGTACCTAAGACAGGAGGAATAAGAGATCTTCTAATGGAAGAAGCGCACAAGACCATGTACTCGATTCATCCCGGTAGCACTAAAATGTATAGGGACCTAAAACCCTATTACTGGTGGCCAACGATGAAGCTCGATGTTGCGAAGTATGTGGCCGAGTGCGTAACATGTGTGAGGGTTAAGGCACAACATCAAAAACCGTATGGGAGTTTAGAACCTTTACCTGTACCCATGGGTAAATGGGAAGACATCACCATGAATTTTGTGACTAAACTGCCCAGAACGAAGAACGGACACGACATGATTTGGGTAGTCATGGATCATTTCACCAGGAGTGCACACTTCATAGCCGCCAACGAGAAGTGGTCTATGGATAAGCTCGCAAACGCTTACGTGAAGGAAATTGTAAGACTTCACGGTGTCTCTCTTACGATTGTGTCAGATCGTGATAGTCGTTTCATGTCGAGGTTTTGGAGGAGTCTACAAGAGGAGTTGGGTACAAAGTTGTGTTTGAGTACTGCTTACCATCCGCAAACTGATGGTCAGAGCAAAAGAACGATTCAGACGTTGGAAGATATGCTGAGAGCATGTACCCTCGAATTCCAAGGGAATTGGGACGAACACTTACCTCTAATAGAATTTTCCTACAACAATAGTTTTCACTCGAGCATCAAGATGGCACCTTATCAAGCCTTGTATGGACAGAAGTGTCATACGCCGTCTTGTTGGCTTGAAGCCGGAGATAAGCAGTTTATGGGCCCCGATATGGTCCATGAGACTGCTGAGAAGTTGAAGGTGATAAGGGAAAGGATGTTAGCAGCACAAGATCATCAGAAGAGCTATGCTGACAAGAAAAGACGACCGATAACTTTCGAAGTTGGGGATTCCGTTTTGCTTAAAGTCTCACCGTGGAAGGGACTTATACGATTTGGGAAACGAGGAAAGTTGACTCCAAGGTTTATTGGACCGTTCAAAGTTCTTCAGAAGATTGGGAACCAAGCTTACAAGCTGGAATTGCCCGAAGAACTCAATGGTATTCATAACACCTTCCATGTGTGTTATTTAAGGAAATTCACGGGAGATGTTCCTGACATAATTCCAATCTCAGAGTTAAGGATGGATGAAAGTAAAAGGCTGATCGAAGAGCCTGAGGCAATTGTTGACCGTAAGACTAAGAAGTTACGAAGCAAAATGGTCGACTTGGTGCTAGTCCGATGGAAACATTCGAATGGGCCGAATCTCACTTGGGAAACAGAGGTTGACATGATAAGTCGCTATCCACATCTGTTTGCTGATGCATGATTCCGGGACGGAATCATCCTAAAGGGGAGAGAATTGAAACGCCCAGGTTTCAAGGCTAACCATTTTTGTCAATGTAATAGTCTAGGTCAACTCTTGTAACTCTTTTTGAAGTAATAAAGGTAAAATATTTGAGTATTATGTGAATTATGTGTGTTTATGTGTTTATTATTTAATTATAAATGTATAATTAATAAAGAATAAAACTGAGCGTCAAAATTAAAGTGTGAGATAATCCTGATATCTCTACATAAAGTTGTAGAATATGTCTCAAGGTTTCCGTGCATATAAGGAACGCCGAAATCCGAGTTATAACGAAGAAGTTATGATCCGTCGAAGTTTCACGACAGAACCGGCACGATACCGGGAAGCGTAAATAGTGAATTTATGATAGAGCGAGATTTAGCCTTAGCGATCTAAACAAAATTTGTAGAATATGTTAAACTAATAACATCGATAAAAAGAACGCCCAAATCTGACTTCGTATGAAGAAGTTATGAAATTTTAAACAGACCAATCTTGTCCCGGCCTGTTAAAAATATAACTTTAAAAATAAAGTCAAAATTAGCCGACGGAGTCTAAACGAAAGTTGTAGAGTACGTCTCCACCTACGCGT